TCCTGGATCTTGCGGATCTCGTCGGTGATGTTCGTGTTCAGCATTGGCACCTTGCCCGAGGACGTGCGCCGAGATGCTTCCATGAGCTCTGCCTCCTTCTGCTGCATGTCCAGAACCTGCCGTTCCAAACGCTCTCGTCTGGCGGCCAGGCGACGGACGTCTCGAAGTCGAGGCTGTTGAGCCACGATCATCAAGGCATTGGCGGCCCCACCAATCGCAAGCGCAAGTAGAAGCGCCTCCAACGGCACGCGCATGTCGAAGGCATTTGCTATACGAATTGGAGTCGGGAGAAGTTGGTCAGACCAAACTTGAGATCTCCCAAAGCTGGCGGCTTCTGGCATTGAAAACCCTCGGCCATACTCAGTGATGCTAACTTCAACATGCCCAGCGCTTCGCCTATGCATCTGCTGTGTCACTCCAAGCGTGGTGTGGAACAAGGTCAGACCTACCATGTCAATGACGCTGCCCATGTCAGTCAACAAATAGGCGGGGATAAGGCACGGAACAGGTCCAGGTACTATTTGCACACGCAGAAGCCCCGAGCATCCGCCAATCCCGATGGGAATGTAGGCTATTGGAGTACGCTCCTCCGCCCCGCACACGCCACGGACAGTGCCCCCATCCTCGCCTGAATGCTGAACTTTCATGCCAAAACTGGTCAGCAGGTGCTGGTCCAGTTTGTCTAAGGTTTCGCGCCCAATCAACCCGTGTTGCGCCGCCGTGTCCACCAGCGCCCTGCCCGGTGTCTCCATGCTTGTGGCAAAGTTGTAGGACAGGAAGTCAAGATTTTCCACGGGCCCAGGCGTCCCACAGCTTGTGTTAAAACAAGACAAGGCACATGTTCCAACCAGACTGTCCAGCATGTATTGCGGCCACTGCTGGTCTGACTCTCCTGTGGTCATGGACATGTAGCCGGCCGCACTGGTCTGCGGGGGCTCTACAAAGAACATAGCAGCTTTGGCCACCGCTTGGTGGTCCTGAGCTTGCACCTCGTGGCTGCTCACGCTGTCGGCCTCGAAGTGGGCAATGGCGGCTCCAATGGCCAACTTGCTTGCAGGTATGGCAACGACTCTTTGCCATCAGATCATTCACCGACAGCCGGGGCCGCCTGTCGAAACCACGACCATTTCGGGCATCTTGGAGTGCTCGGCGGTGGTCCTGGTAACAGCCATAGACTCCAAAGACTCCAGGAGCACCCTTTGAGCCCTTTCCTTTGTAGTCCTTGCCCTTGCCGGTGAAGCGTCCCTTGTGGCCTTTGCCGTGCTTGTTCTTGCCCTTTCCTTTGCCCTTTATGCGGTCTCTGGCCTCGAACAGCGTCCACGCCAGGTAGTCACCCATGAACTCGACGGCCTCCGCTTCCTCCAGGATGTCCGGGGGGTCATGCTCCAGGACCATGTAGACCTCACCCGTGTCGGCGTCCAGGTCCAGGAGGTCCTCGAAGATGGTCGACTCCTCGGCGGGGTCCCGGTCATAGTTCTGGCCGTCGTTGCCGAAGTAGATGTTGTACTCGCCTGACTCGTCGCCATCGCCCTCGTGCCAGGTGCCTTCCCAATAGGTCTTGGCTTGGCTGTCGTCCAGAGAGTCACCGAAGATTTTCCGGATCGCCAGCTCAATCTTTCTGAAGTCAATGCTGCCGTCCGTAAGGACTCGGATTCTTTGCTGCTGGTCCACGGTAAAGCCGCCCTGCTTGAGCAAGAGGTGACCCAGCAGGTGGTTCCCAGCATCCGTGGCCAGCATGTCCAGCCCTTGCTTTTTCAGCTCCGCAAAGGCTGCCTTCTTTGTCGCCAAGAAGCCCGTCAAGGTCTGTCCTGGCCTCGTGCGTCCACGGAAGATCGCAGCATCGAACGCTTGCTCCAGGCGAGCCTCCTTGAGGTAGGCGTGCGACTCCTCGATGACGGCGATGATCTGCTTATAGCCGTCGGGGGCGGTGATGTCATCCACAGAGAGGTGGGCCAAGGAGGCTGCCAGCCTGCTTCCAAAGGGAATCACATCGAGTATCCTCTTGCCAATCAGGCTTGGTGGCAATCGAGCTTCCGCCTCGATAAGCCACAGCTTGAGGTTCCTGGCGTATTCCCGGTACTTGCTCTCCGGGTGCTCGCCATTCCACGAAGGAGCCGCTTCCATCTTGTAGTCCACGAAGCGCCTTGCTTGTCCCTCTTCGGAACCATCAAGGCCCCGTCTCCCATACGGCGGGGCGCCGTTCGGCGATCTCGGCCTCAACGGGGAACTTGCACCGAAGTCGCCTCCATTCGGGCGAAGTGCCCGACCATCATCATCCGTAGCCATCTTTCGCAGTCACCTGCAACGGCTTGTCCAAAAATCTGCAGCTGCAAAGTCAGCTGCCCCTTCTCCAGTCCCCAATTGACTGGTATACAAAAGTCCTCGGGCCGGCAGGCCCTTTCCAAAGAAAACAGGTAAGTCACGAAGCTGTCTCGAACGAGGTCGGAGTTCACCTTGCCGAAGCGGAGAATCGGTGTCAGGTCCCGGGCAAAGAGCGCCAGAGAAGCAGCCAGCGCCGAAGAAGCGCCGAAGAACAGCCAGCGCCAGAGCAGCGCCGAGAAGCAGCCAGCGCCGCGGAGGCGCCGAGGAAAAGGCAGCGCCGCAGGAGCGCCCCAACGTCAGCCTTGGCCGTTACCACGGCTCCGCTGCCATGCGTAGCAGAACAAAGCGCAGCACACGGATGGGCTCTAGCACTTTTTCCAGAAGCTCAAGGCGCCTGCGTAGCGGACAGCTCAAGGTCACAGCTCGGCATGCCACCACATGTTGGAGTGTACTTACGGGCCCTCCTGCACACAGCTCTGGAGTTTACTGTCTACGGTTTTACACTGGTGTACTCGGGAGCGCCGAATCAACTGGCAAACCCTCACGCGGCTCATCGTGAGCCTTGGCATGTCGCTCCCTCTCGCGCTGGGCCCGCAGACGCTTCAACCTGGCAACCTGAAGACTTCCCGGGGCACCACTCGGGTCCGACAAGCCGACACACGAGCCTTTTCATCTGCCAGCCTGCGAAGCTCCTGCCAGGTGAGCTTTGGAGCTGACCATACATGCTTGCCTGCCTGCTTGCATGCCACGCGGGCTCCTTGAACTCTTGCTCAAGAGCTGCTACTTGCGCCTTCAGCTCGGCGAAGTTTTCCATGTCGAAGAGTTCGGGCACAGATGAAGCAGGAACGTGGATGAGGCTTCTTATAGTTGGGAGCACGGTTTCCCGTAAGGGTCATAAACTTCGTCAGACTTGCCGTGAACTGTGGGCTGGTCATGGCTCAAGGTTGTGAAGTGCATCAGCATGAGAGGGCGCGCGCAAACCATTCGGTGCATTGTCTTGGTCTGCATGCACGAGTCAGATTTCCTGGCTTGTCCTTTGACTTGATTACCCTCAAGGTAGCTGTGAAACAGAACGGATGTTTGCTGACCAGATCACAGGGAGCATCGCATGAACATGCCCCGCACAGCAAAAGCACCAAGAGCTCCGACGGACATGGCTGTGCGGGCCCTTTTTCTGGCCCGGAGAGGCGCCCAGCTGCCAGTGGCCGCGCGTAGCAATGCCCTTCGGAAAACAGCTCTGCATTGCTCCGCGGCTTAGACGCTTCCGAACGGAAGCTGCAGGTTGGGTCCTGCCACCACCCATTAACAGTCTATAACAGGGGTTACATTAAGGGCTCTATATGGCTATATTATACCCATTAACAATCTATCATAAGGGTTACATTAAGGGCTCTATATGGCTATATTATGAAAAATATCCGGCCGTCACTGAGTCTAGACCAGGGGTCATGTTAGCGGCTACATTCTATCTAGGGTAAAGAACATTATCCAACTGTCAATGGGTGGGCGGGCAGCATCCAAGCTGAAGGACTTGTTGCGCGGTTCAAGTCCTGGACCTGTACAGCCTTGTCTCGCTTCACTCGATGGCTCCAGCCTTCCATCATTCATATGAGGCATTGTCTAAACTCCTAGTATCCCCCTTAATAACTCCTATAGTAGTCCCTTATATAATCCCCTATATAACCCCTTTTAAGGAGTTTAGACTACAGCTCATATGAGTACTATGTACTATGACTGTTATTGCAACTATGATGACTGTTGTTGCTTTCTTCTTCTTCGAATGATGACTACCATTACTACTACGATGATTACTAGCATTATTACTACTATTGCTACCCATTGTTATTGCTACATTTTAGGGATGCGACAAATGGGCGGACCTTCTCCAGCATGGCCTTCAGCTCCCCCCTCAGCACCCAACTCCAAAGCTTGTCAGATCATTGTGCTCCGTATGCTGTAATAGGGACTATTAGGGTTCTATTGGGGTAATATTGGGGTTATATATGGATAATGGAAAAGAAAATGGAAACTACTATAATGGGTTTAGGGTTTAGTAGGGAAATGGTAATAATAGCAATAATGGTAATAATGTGTAGTAATAATTGTAATACTAATTGTAATACTATCGTTGTGGTAAATGCTATTTTCTAGTAAGCATAATAAAAGAAGTCATTAGTGAGAATACTAATAGTGGAAGTAATATCAATAATGATTAAAAAAAGCAATGATAATGGTAATACCTTTATTACCCCCCCTCGTGATTTCCAGAAAATCTGTCGTGGCTGTGGCAAAGGCAGCGTGTGCAAGCTTGTGACAAATGCAGATGCACGCTTCTTTTACAGTTGGAACCTTAGCACCCCCCTGCACCTATCCAGCATGTCCCAACACCTGTCCAGGGTCCCCAGACCCCTCGGTAACGTCAGAGCTGTGGAAGAGTTCTGCTTGCATGCCGCGCGCTCCCAAGTTTTGGAATCGGAGATGTTTCGTTGAATCCGAATCACACAGCTCTGGACAGCATATCCCCTCAGGCTCAATTGCACCCAACAAGAGCATCCTGACCGCATCCGCAAGTTGATCTATGTTTCTGAGGTCAGGACTTGCCATGCAAGGCTGCCACATCCGAGCCACCGCCTGGCAAGCTGGGTGTCTTGGCAAGAACATGGAAGAGCTCGAATCAACGAAGAGCACCGCAGAGGCCTATGCACTTGGCGCTGATGAAGACCCGCGGCACCTTCGTCCACAACCAGCACGGGACTGGTTTCGTTGGAGTTTCAATATGGTAGCAGAAATGAGACTCCAACAGAGCGTGCCCCTGTCGTCTGCAGGAAGTGGTCCTGTGTGGTCAGTCTCAGTGCCAGCAGGTCATGCAGCCAGGATTCAACTTTGTCTATCACTGTCCAATCACACACAGGCTCGAGGAGGGCTCCAGGTTAAAGCGCGAGATAGTCAGCATATGCCATGGTACTGCACCCCTTGGACTGACCTGCATCAGTATGATTATGATTTCACAGGCTTGTGGGCTCTCAATGAACGCCTTGCAGACCCAATGTATCGGTATGGCGCGGACGGGAGTGGAGGTTTGAGGGATAAGCGCTTCCGACTGTGCGAGAGGGGAGTTTCTGTTGTCGCTCTTAGTCATGATGGCAGCTGGTAATGTTTGGGAACCAAAGCGGGGGTTTTGCCAGGCGCTAAGCAGACCGTCCGGCGTGCTGAGCTTTGTGTGCTAATTCATCTTCTTGATTCCACAGATGGGAACGTGGAATTCAGCTGTGACTCCTAGATTACAGTCAAAACACTGAAGCGTCTCATAAGATCTCATGTTTTGAAATCAAAAACCCGCATGCTGACCTCTGGCTTAGGGATCTAGACACACGGCGAGTATACCCTGTACGGGTCAACTCCCAATTAGGTCGCAAAGCTTTCTTTCACAAGATTGGTCGTGATTTGGAATGGGCCCACATCTCAACTGACCGTGCTGATAGCAGTGCAGGTTTCAACAGGTACTGGCTTAGCCAGCGACCTGATATGCGGACCTTTACTGACATCAATGCATGGACTGACAATCAAACACATCGACCCCTGAACCATCTCATCCCACGTGTTCAGGGCATTTTAGAGGCATACGGGAACAAACGGACCAACGGCCTTGCCAAGTTCTCATTCAAAAAAACTGTCCAATCACTGTCCGGACTATCGTTTATTCAAATAAGATGGCTGCTGGGTCTAGCAGTTCCCACAGACCTAGACTGCTTTCGCAGGAGCTGATGTGCAAGAGGCAGACAAAAACACACGGTCCTGCAATGTGGACATGTCATCTGGCTTCAGTTCTTTATCCATCCTGAGCAGAATGGATGACACCAATGAAACTGGCTGCAGACCATGCAAACATGGGGAGTTTCCCAGAATTATGGGTACCATTTTGGGTGTCCCCATAACAAGGACTATAGCCTTTTGGGGTCTATATTGGGGTCCCCCTATTTTGGGAAACTACCCCGTCTCTGAGGATCTTGACTCCATCACGTGGCACTTGGCTTTCAGCTCATTGAGCAAAACCTGCTTTGTCAGATCATGCGGGACCAATTGAAGAGACCGGTCGCACAACATGTCGACAAGTCTCATTAGCACTATTATTGTTATTCTGATTACAATTAGTATACAACTAAAAATGTTTGCGATCTTCTTCTTCTTCGAGTCGCGATCGCTTCCGTGCAACCTAGCGAGCCTCAATAATGACTTAGTCATGAGGCGGTGAGCCGCCACTAATGGCAAAGCACTCACGGCGCAGCCCGGGCCGAAGCCCCTGCAGCTGCTATAAGCAAAAGATGCAAAAACATGCAACTGTACATGGAAATTAACAGGCAGGCTCAAGCGTCGGCTTCACTCCCAAGGTACCTCCAGAAACAGTCAGCAGCGTCGCAACTTCTCGCAGCTCCACTTCGCAGGAAAGCCATTCCTTTTTTCGCGGGCGTTTGCAAGCTTCGGAGAAGTTACTGCACCACTCAGTTTGGCTCGGCTTTTGCTTGTCTGGGCAGCAGCTGGAATCCAAACCTTCTCAAGATACGGTCTGAGCCAGGGGTTAGCCACGAACCATTTCGAACATGGTAGAGAACAAGGGTCAGTCGCATGCCTTCCCAGGGACAAGTGGCATGAAGGTCCGCACCATCGAAAAGCAGAAAAGGAGCCGTAACTGGATCCTGTCAGGGGATTCAATCCACAATTCCCCCCCAGACCATCTGGTTAGGGGCACCAGGATGTTGAGCGTGGTCCGATCATTGTTTGAGTCGCGACGCGGGCGCGAAAGCACATTTCTCGAAAACGAAAGCGAGCTGTAGTGTCTGCCAGTGACGAGGAAGTTGGCCAGAGAGACCAGCGCAATACATGTCCATGGGTACATCCTCGTGTTGCGTGTGACTCCTGCCTGACCACCATAAACAAAAGCCCCGGCAATGAACTGCTTCGGCGATGTCGCCGAGCCTGCATCTGCAGCAGCCTGAGCGTTGCGCGGTTGTGCACGTCCAGGAAGTAACTGAAGCATCTGACTCAAGATATCAGAGTCCACCCATCCTCTCCGCAGCGCCGTGTATGCCAGCAGCTCAGCTCCATGCACAGGCGGCTCCAGTCCCTCCAGCCATGTGGGCATCTCCACCCTGAAGAGTGATGGCCGGGTCCAGACGTCGTCGTAAATTTCAACCACTCTTGGCAAAGGCAGAAACTGATTCGGCGTTCCAGAGCTGTCATCCGGTGTGAGGTCCACAATGCCGGCCTTCTTTACCCCGAAACACCTGCCCCATGTCAGCGATTTTCTTTTGCAGGAGCCACTCGAAACCTCCAGTAGCCTGAAGTAGGGTCCAGCTTCATCCTCCCCAGCCGCCAGCGTGCGCCCGTCCCGGCTGAATCCGCGGGATTCAAAGAACTTGAGAGCGCTGTCGCCATCAAACAGTCCACCGAGAGCATGGCCGGGTCGGAAAAACTCCTCTGTGTTTGACATTCGAATGCCAGCCATCCAGCCATCCGCATCGCTTTCCGCCGAGAAAGAGGCATGTGAGTCCTCATCAAGGTCCAGAGGCACCTGCACTCCCACGTTCGGCATTGCTCATGTAAAGGCCAAAGGGGTCTGCAACACCAACATTTCCTAGCCACGAAAAGAACACTCATGCGCCGTGGAAAGTCAGGAAGTCAGTTGCGAAGAACAATCCAATACCCAACAAACATATGCCCAGCCATGCAAGGAAATACACCACGGCTCCAACAGCTTGCAAAGTTCGGGCCACTGCAGATGATGAACAACAGCGGGCGGTCGCAACAACAAAATAAGGAGCAACGTCTCAGCACTTCACTGCTCAAGCATGCTGGGGCACTGATTGTCCATGCGTAGGCCAGTCTGTCTCCGGTATCAACCTCAGAGCCCATCATCTCCAAGCCCCCCTGCCTAAGGCGACGCTGACCTGTACTGCACATCTGCTGCTTGGTTCCTGACGCTCCTCGCGTCTGGGATGCACCAGGCCTCACTCGCATCCACTGCACATAGCAAACACAGCACCCAAACAAGCACGAAAACCACTGCACCCACTTGCTCACCATGTGTTTGCTGTTCCCGTCCGAGAGTTCTGCAATGCTGCGTGCAAACTGCAGTAATTCGTCCAGAACATCTGTAAGAGCTGGAAAGAAAAGCCGTTCAGCTCGCTTCGGAGCGCTGTGGCTGAAGCCCAAGGGCATCCACAAATCAAAAATGCCTCCTCACGCTGGAATCTCCTTGGAAATGGCCTGAGCCAAACCACTTCTGGCGCCGCGGTCCGGCTTGACTTGCATACCGATCAGCAGGCTGCAGGCTGAGCCACAGAAAACATCCAAGATCTCATGAGCCTTCTCTGCATCAGAGCCACGCGCACAAAGCTGTAACAGAAATGCGACGCTCTCTCCACGCATCTCAGCAACAAGTGGCCGAGTCGGGAAGAAGCGGGCAATCACGCCCGCACTCACGCTGACCCTGATAAGCTCCTGCAGCATTGTCTTGCCCTGCTCGTAGGGTATGGGCTCCTTTGCCGGATCAAGCACTAGGTGCTGCGATTCCGCTTTCCATTGCAAGTACGGGAACGCGTTTTTCTGTCCATCGAACCAACCAAGCTTCTCCATGCCAGTCTGTGTCTCAGGAACAGAAGGCAGCGCCACTAGACGCGCCAGCCACTCCTGAAGTACACAGGTCCAGACCGCAACCCTCATCGGCCGCGTCACCTCCGCCGGCTTTTCCTGTCGAAGAGCATGCCATCCTGCCCTGGCTTTTGAGAGGCTCGGGACAATGGTAGAAGGAACATTGATCCGCAGATGCAGCACAAACGAGTATTCAGCTTTCTGCGTGTTGATGGCGTCTTCGCGCCGCAGCAGCAGTCGCTACACAGAGGCCAACTGTCGCTTCAGGCCGTCAACCTCACTCTCCCGCCAGGACCCTCGATTGTCCTTATCCTTGAATTGCCAGCGGCCGCTACCGCCACCTCTTCCATGGCCATCTTCACTCTTCCACTTGTCCGATTTCTCAGGTTGCTGCGTCCGACCTTTGCCTTTTTGGTTGTCCTTCGCCCACTTGCCACCTCGGCCATCGTCATCCCTCGTGTCCTGTGTCTCATCAGGCTTCCGACCTGCGGACTGGTCCACTGCCATGGCCTTGTTTTAGGCCGTACCGGCCGGCATAAAGGACTTCCAGAACTCATCCTCCATCGAAGTGACAAGTTGCTCAGCTTCCGCCATGGTGGGGCTATTGGGCAGGTGTGCTGAGGAGGCGTGATCTGGCGAGCCAAATGTAGCAAACATTACCCTGATGCTCACGATAAAGAATACATTGCTCCGCTTGACAGTTGTCATCTGTGTAAAACCACGCGTCACCACCAGATCTGAGGAGGCTGCGGTAGTGCCCGGAACGGCAGTCCCGTCCAATGTGAACAACTGCTGCCACTGGCCTGTAAAAGGTATGCACACATCGAACCCCCTGGGAACAAATTGGAAGCGAGACATCCTCCGTAAACAGCAGCCTGGCTTGGTTCTTCCTTCCACCGCAGTACCTGCCAATCTGTACCGGCACCACGTCCTGCTGAGAGCTAAGGGCATGCGCGTGCGCCTGGTGCTGCCACTCATCAATCAACGCCTGAAGCTCAGAGCCGCGAGTGGGCATCTCCAGAAGTAGTGCCTGACCATAATCCGTAGTCTCAACAAGACCATCCATCTCAAGTCGGCTGCACCACACAGTAGTGAACGAGGAAGCAGAACTAAGCACGACTCCCACGTACTCCGAAGCATCCTGCTGCTCAGAGTTGTAGCTCCACCGACCTGAGACTGCCAGGACTTCCGGCTGAGTGTGCAGCGCACTGCGTAATCCAAACTGAGCCCTCGAGCGTAAGTGTGCAATCAAAGGTCTGAGCATTGCTGGGGTATACCTGGCCACCAAACACGCATGGCACAGAGCCAAAATGCTTGAGTTCGCATAGCAGCGGTTGCCTGGGTTGATGAGCACCAGCTTGAGGGCCCAAAAGCGCCCCATGTCCGTGTTGCCTGTGACAAGCGAGTGAAGCCCGCCTGCTCCAACGGAGCACCCTATACCCAGCATATCAGCACTGCCACTGAACTTCACGCCCGCCTTGCTCGTCCGAGATAGCCCCATCGTCTGTCCAATGGGTGAGGGCTCTATAGAGTACTCTGCGTACGCAGGCTTGTTCTTGTCCTGCCTTCTGATCGTGCCGGTGCCTTGCGCTCTGGCCGCCTCCAGCTGCCCCTTTCGGTGAAGAGACCTTGTGGCAAGGAGCTGGAACAAAACCGCACACTGCCTGCTGTGCACCCCGACATCAGACGCTCTGCTTCCACAATATTGGCACGGCCTCCTGATGGTAGAACTTAAGCTGGCCATTTCCCCAAGAACCTCACCCCTGACACACTGCCATGCACCACTATGCGTCTTCTGCCAGTGGGTCTTGATGCGTCGCATATCTATGAGGCGTTGACTACAGAGGGAGCAAGCCTTCCGCAGAGTGTCCAGCTGCGCCGTCACCTCCAAGAGAGGCCGTAATAGCACTGTCCGAACATCCCCTGCAGAAGCTACCTCCAGTCCAGGTGGCGGTTCGGGGGGATCGTCCTGTTCCTGCTGCAGCACCACTTTCCACATCTCTTCGAGGGTTGTGCCCGTGGCCGTTCGCCACTTCAAGCGACTACACGTACCACTGGCTACGTGTTTGCGCAACGAGCTCCAATCATGCATACGACATCTGCAGAGTCTACAAACAGGAACCCACGCAACGCATACTCTCCTCTGTTGAACGGTATCCCGGAGTCCATATGGACCTGTGCACGCCGATGCTTCACGCGCATGGCCAAGCCCTCTGCCGTGGCAAAGCTGAGTCCGCAAACATCACAGCTGTGGCCCGCGCCAGGTGTAGATTCAATCTCGATGAGGGAGGAGCCATGTTGTGCCTTGTCAATGCCTCTCATGCGCTGAACATTGCGCAGAACTTGATCCATCTCACTCGCCTTGACCTCCATCGATCGAGCATCCGCTGCCAAACGACCCTGTAGCGCCTCGGAAGCTTGAAGAATCTCCATGTGTGGGTCAATGCCAGCTATGCGCAGAACCCTGATTGGAGACTCCACGAGTGTAGATTCGTAAGACCTTGCGCAGGTGCACGCAGAGAGCGCTGACTACCTCGTTGTATGAAGCCTGTGTTAATCCTACAGCAGCCAACCCGTAGCGCATACTGCTCCACACGCGCGAGCAATAAACCCTCAGCCTTTCAGAGCTGCCGAAGACGCTGCGCGTTCGAAGGACCTTGCTCAACTGGCCAAAACGCTGCTGAGCTTTGCCAAGCCGACGTTGAACCGTAGAGTGCTCATACCCAGAATAGCCTAAAACAACGCCCAAGTAGTTCAGCTCGTAGACAATCGGCACATATGAGCTGCCACCCTCATTTGGCACCCTCAATTGATGTAGCCCGCGCCACTGACATGCGCTGGCTCTCATGATGGCGGCTTTGTCTGTCCCAGTGAGAGCTAGCATGGCCCCCGACTTCTCAAGATTGATCGTAAGCCCCAGCTGTCGAACCACTGAAAACAGACAACCAAGCTCCCGAACAGCCCTTCTCATGTCCCCCGTGGTACCAATATCCCAGTACACCAGCGTATCGTCAGCAAAGATACTGCTGTGACTGTTGCACCATCCCTCTCCAAGGTTGGCATCCATAATTTTACACAGCCTTGAAGTCCAAGGCGTACAAAACCGGTGCCAAGGGGCAGCCTTGCCTCAGGCCACGGGTCATAATGGTAACGGCCTCCCTACCTGCTTGACGAATGCGGCATTGCGTTTGGGTGTGCACTCTCATAACAACAGCAATCAGGCGGTCGTCAATCTGCAGCTCTTCAAGAGATCGCTGTATCTCAATACGCGGCACAGAATCGAACGCTTTAGCTAAATCCAAACTGACAGCCATGCCCCCTGCCAGCCTACATTTGGGCGCGCCTGCTACCCTACTTGTGTGGTCCTGCCTGTTCTGTTGCAGAGCGGTCCGTACCCCATTGCAGTGTCGAGCCGCGCGAAGTATGGCATTGCTGGTGTCCATACCTTTTCGATATGCAAATTGCGGGGTATCTCCCAGCGCCGCATAGACTGACTCGCTAAGTTGCTCCTTCAGTACCAAAAGGAAGGCCTTCGAGTCACCCGGCGTGAGCCCTACACTGCGCAAATGCTTCGGCTGCGTAGGGGGTTTGGGGGGCTTAGGGAGCCAAGCCAACTGAACAGAACACCACCCCACCGGAACGTGTGGCCGAGAAGTGCAAAGAGCCAGCTTAGAAATTTCACTTAGGCGTTCTGAAAAACATTGCCAGAGTCCTTCCATGCCGCAATTTTTGGTTCGCCATGAGGAACCGCCTTCCAGGACTTGAGCTCATTGAGTGCCAGCCTCAAGCGCCACGCATCGAGCCAGTCCTCAAGAATTTGCTGAAGCGGCGGAGGCTCGTACGGCTCCCCTCTGAAGAGTTCCTCGGCATACCGCTGTAGAACCTCACACTCCTTCTCTGCCGCCACCAGGCAGTCATGCTCATCTCGGAGCCTCAGCCGTCCTGAAGTCCTCGAACCCGACAAGAGCTTCACGCACTGAAATAGCACGCGAGAGTCTCCATCCTTCGCTGCTTTCTCTGCCATCTCCAGGGCTGCAAGATTGCGTTGCCTCTTTCGACCACGTGCTCGCTTGCCAAGCTCCCGGCGCAAGCGCATCATACGACCATGGTTCCTGAGCAAGTCAAAGCACTGCCGCAAAGTGCCAACCTCGCCGCCCTTAAAGGCCGCACGACTCTCCCAGTATTGTGCAATAGTCGCGTCCAATGGCTCCATTGTCGGCAGCTGCACCCTCGGAGCCAACTCAGTCTCAATCTGACCAGCGTCGGCCCGGATGTCCCTCAGCCTCCAAGTCGAAGCATCGGTTAGCGCTGGAGCCGTAGCACAGTTGGGCGCCTTTGGCTGTTGTCTCCATGGTTCCCATCTGGCAGAGACACTACCAACAAGAACCCTGCGCCCTCCCGTCCTCCAGCCTGCCAGAGGCGTGTCCACAGCCGAGGCTCCTCTTGCAGCAGCGTCAGCAGACGTCCTCCGCGTGAACGCATAGTCAATCAAGGACTCACCCTTGGAGTGCACAAACGTATTTTTTCGCTTGCCATACGTGTTGCACGCCACCAGCCCTGCGCGCATGAGCATGTCCGCAGCTGCAGCAGCCTCCACGGAATACGCGCTTGTGCCCTGCTCCATCCCAACACTGCTCCCAGTAAGGCCAGGTGTTCGAGGGAGGACCGTGTTCAGATCACCTGCTACAATGACTACATCCCTGTAAGGAAGGCTGCCCAGACACTTGTCCAGCTGTCTCCACACAGTAGCGCGTTCAGCAAGGTTTTTCTGAGTGGCTTCGTCTGACCCGGCAATCCTGACCTTCTGATACACACTCAGGACATCAAATGGCGTCCCTGCGATGGTCCCCCTCACATGCAACAGCCGCCCAGCTACCAGCTCGCTCCACTTCAGAGTCGCCACGTCCACGCACGCCCTGCGCAAACAAACAAGAACTCCTCCCGACCGACACTTGCTTGCAGCACTATGCACACAGTACCAGGTATCATCCTGCCACTCTAAACTTCCGCTCCAGTGCGTCTCCTGTAGCAAAAGTATGTCAATAGCAGAGGTCTTGGCCCAGTACAGAAATGTTCGCGATATTTCTACTGTTACTGTTTCCATTATTTTCCTTGTATTATCATTGTTATTACTATCGTTATTTCCATAATAGTTACTATTATGAATACCATCACTATTACTCCTATGTCTATTACTTTTATTGCCATGATTACTATTTTGAAAATTGCTCTGATTAGCTCTGGTGTAGATTCCAGCGAACCATGGCAGGAGGACGCTCTTCGCCATGTCACAGAAAGGACAGGTGCTTTTCGAGAAAACGACACACCTTGCATCAGCAGAGCCACTGCAGCCCCAAGGCATGGAGACACGCACACGGGGCACCCGTGGCTCTGGATGAGCTTGTCAGCATTCTCCACCACTGGGCTCGCCGATGAAAAGAGCCTTGGTTCCCAATTCCCAACCCGTAAGGAAGCTAAGACTGTGCCTCTTGAAGATCTGCAGGGCACCTCCTGAGAAATGCCATCGCGGGCCTGACAAAAACTGATGCACGAATGCCCTTGACAGCCTTCGAGCTGAGGCCGACACCTCTCTGTGAGAGCTGCAGTGTGCTGAAAGGCTTAGCTGCTACACTCGCTGTGAGCCAGCTTCTCGTAAGATACGACACAATACCTGGTCACATCGCGGTCCGCAAGTCAAGGCACAAAGCCATCGATTCGTTTTCATCGTGATCTGAAAACACTTCGAGGCCACTCCAAGTTGTTGGAGGGCGAGCTACAGGTTCTGCGGTAAGAAGAGCCCAGAAACCTCTAAGGTTCAAAAGGCTGTAAAAGGTACATCTTTGCGGACTTTGCAGGCTGCACACCTGCCTCAGCCCTGCGGGGCGCTCCTATTCCATTCCCTTCGGGAAAGCAGTTGAAAGCACGCTGCTCCAGCGGCCCGCCATCCACTCACATCTGTCAGAAAGTATCCGTAACAATCTCTTCCTCAGGGCATCTAAGAATCTATATGCCGCTCATCCACAGAATACAGATGAACAGGTCCAAGAGGCGACGATTTTAACAGTCTCCTTCAGCTGTAGGGTGGGGCCCTTTGCTGTGGGCATCAGGGCCTCCGCCAGCATACGCCTCAGACCAAGACTTTGCATCAAGCCCGCGATGTCAGATGCATGCTGCGTTGCTAAGCAACCAAGCGGGGTGACCGGGATTCATCTTCATAGCAGGACTAGCTTTAACCAGCATAGCAAAGCGGACTTGACAAGGACGTACAGCTGCTTTGCATTGGTGCTGCCCGCGTTGGGCAAGCTTCTTAACTTCATCAACCTACAAAGATAGGAGATCTGCTAATCTCTTGCGCCTGGTCATGGCTTGACAAGCAGAATCTTGACAAGCTTCTATTACGGGACATATGAATGCATTGCGTGTATCTTCCCCAACAATGGCCGATGCGCCGCAGATGCCTGAATGAAAGCCCGACCATCAACAACACACTTGCCTTTCTACAGAAGTCTCAAATGTCCTTGGAGACAAGCACATAAGATTGGGTTAGACCAGAGTCCATGACCTGCACCGCTTTTCAATCTCTAACTGAGTTCCACCTATGATGGCGAAGCTCATACCGATCCGATTTGCAATGCAAAGAAGATGGCTCGCTTCCAAGGAGCTGTTGAGCAGACAGGCGCTCCAACAGGTCTGCACTGCGGTCCTCCGCCACGAGTTGGCCTAGTCGACTTCGTTTCAAAAAGATCAAGTGAACCTCAACTGCTCGGCCTGAGAGGATCTGATAACTCTCCGCCGTGAGCAGCACGGTAACGCCATGAGCATGCTTGACAATCCGAGAGTAATCCAAGCACAGTCCTCAGCAAAGTTGTGCAAAATGCATGGGGGAGGAGTCTCTGCACAGCCTCGGTGTAGCAAAGCTTCTGAGCAAGCGGAAGTCGTCAATCTCTTTGGCAAGCGAAGCAAGCGAGGAGATGTCGACCTTGACAGTGAAGGCCTCCTGGTTGAGGCAGCGATGGTTCACAAGCTTGGTGTAGAGCTCGACGAGGAACTGCAATCCGCGACCTTTGCCAAGGCTCTGGAAAAAGCATGAGCAAACGGCATCTTGCAAACAGCAAAACCCAAAGCTGATGGATGCATGCGGGCTTCGCAGCCCCAAGTCTTGATTGGCCACTGCGTTCGTAAGGAACAACCTTAAGACAACTGCCGTATGATGCTACACATAGTTGACGGGCGCATGCGATTCGTACAAGCCCAGCAGCGGGAGGTATAAGAAAATGAACGCCTGCGCAAACAGAGCCCTAGACTGAACTGGATGTTTCCCGTGATCCGATGAATGAGATGCTGATCCGCCACCTCTCCTCCTTATTTACGGCTACAAGTAACTTCCAAAAGCTGCCCGCAGCATGCCATACTACCACCACAACATCCTGTTCTCGCTGCCTTGTGGTACAGGCCATCCGTCAAGAAAACCTCATACAGAGCGTCCTGGCTGTCAGGCGGTTGCGGTCAGTTTGGGATCCACTCCTGCTGCAAACAATAGTTTCCATCTTGTTTTCCAGTATCCCCATACAAGCCCCATACAACCCCAATACAACCGCAATATAACCCTAAATCCTAATATAACCCTAAACCCTAACATAACCCCAATAGAACCCTAAACCCTAATACAACCCCAATACAGCCCCAATATAACCCTAAACCCTAAACCCTAAACCCTAATATAACCCTAATGGCCTTCTCCAGGTCTGTCAGACCGTCCCAGTCGTCTGCCAGGGACTGCAAGGCTTTCGGCTCAACTGTTCCTGTTTTCCAAGACAAGTTTGCTCTTGGCCCCAACACCATATGAATTCTAGTCTAAACTCCTAGTATCCCCCTTAATAGCCACTATAATAGCAGCCCTTGATTCCTTTTACAGACCCCTTTAAAGAGTCTAGACTATAGCTCAGGTAATCTAGTTGAGGGAATGTAGCCCTGTACAGGGACTCGTGCAACCAAGGCTCGCGTCAGGCAGGCAAGTCTGGCCAGGACCAGATGACTTGGAGTCCGAACCTCCAAGTGCAGCGCCTGTGCCCGGCTAGCAATGTACCTTAGACATAGTTTGGGATTTAGGGTTTAAGGTTAGGGGTCTCGTCTCTACATGAGGCCGCCCTCACACCGTTCCCACTTCAAGTCCAGGCACCGCCAGTAGACTGTTTGCGGCCGTTCTTCCTCAGTGGCACACGGTGTGCCAGGGTCATTCTTCCCATTATAGTAGTTTCCAGTTTCTTTTCCCTTCCTTCATTCCCAGCTAACCAGAGCCAATCTAAGCAGACCTGTATGCAGCCATGCAGCTGATACGTCCTGCAAGGATGCCAGGCCCTTCAGAACGGAGCGCCCGTTCAGCTCGCTCAGAAACATGGAGCCGCGCAAGGTGATGGCTCCAGTAACCTTCAAAATGGCATGGGCAGACCGGATCCTTGTCCATACCCATCACACGTGATGAGGCTAGGGCCCCGCATAGAATGCTGACCTGGACGAAGAGGTAAATCCTAAGTGCTTCAGCTCGATTGGCAACGCGTTGTCAAACAGCTCTGCAAGGTCACGCCAAAAGGTAAGTAGCAAAGGCTCTGAAAAACCTCTGCTCCTTCTTCTTGCAGGCTGCATTGCAGCTGCCACACGGAATGAGGATTGTTCTCGCCCTGGAGAGATCACAGGCTCTTAACTTACTCAGGGTTAGAAGGGAATATAGGAAAATAGTAGATATGGATTACATAGGGATAATATCATCGTATTCCCTCCTAAGCACAAGTAAGTTAATGCATGCATTGACCCCTGAGTTGAGCCTGGAGCAGCTGTGCAAAGTTAAACTGGTCCAACATGCGAACCTGAGCGTTTAGGGATAGTTGTTTAGGGGTTGTAAGGATAATGAAAAAGAAAATCGAAAATACAGTTCAGGGAAACTACCATCAGGGCCATAGTCTAAACTCCTGGTATCCCCCCTTAATGACCCCTACAGTGGTCCCCTATATATTTCCCTTCTATAACCCCCCTTTAAGGAATTTAGACTATAGCAAACATGTCACACAAGACCCTAAACCCTAAGCCCTAACCCCTAACCCCTAACCCCAACTCATTGAAATCCGAGCAGCGGTGGACACCAAGTAGTCATAGGCATCTCCCCGCAGACAGGCCATGGAGGGCAGATATGCGTCCAGGTTGGTCGTTGCATAGCTCAACACCTGGCTCGGGGGGTCTTAGTTTAAATGGAAACCCAAAACAGGGCATAGTAGGAATATTCTAGGAGCCGGGTCCGTGTATTCCGCTTGTATTCCTTCTATGTTCTTGGGGGTTGGAACCCCAACAATGTAGCAGGAACATGATAGGCAATGGCTGGGAATGGGAAACATAACGGACACAACAGTCTGTGGTTCGAGGCTTGGCAGAGAGAATTGAATCGACTATAGCATTGAGGATTCCAGAAATGCTACTACGTGAGTCAAGGGCGCTACCTCAACATGCGCTCCTCTATCTAAGCTTGGTAGTAGAAGTCAAGCAGACTACAAAAATGCGTTGACTTTACAGTCGTTGCGAGGCTTCGCAGAACAGTCATGCAAACTCTGCAAAATGTACCTCTGTCGCACATCTACTTTTCGATTTCACATAGTGTTGGTACCTCTTTCATCGGGGACTTCTCTTCCTGTCGGCTGTCACTGGTGCGTTCTGCCGTCTCACACAGTTTGGTTGTGTACTGCTTAATCCCCCAACCACGATTATGACATCTAGTGAAACGTTCGTCGATGCTGTCTGTGGCCTGTATTCGGCTTTTTCTTGATTGCCTGCTAAGTTTGCCTTCCAAGCCCTCGCTGCCTAATATGATCTGCTTCTGCCCTGAATGTGATTGCATGTTTGCACACCTCCTCGAAAGCTTGATCTTGAAAACACGTGTATTTGACGCACGTCTGCTCGGCATTGACCAATATTCTTTGGCAAAATAAGCTGGGCTGTTCGAACACCTCGGCTTCATCATGTGTTAGTTGCACCTCTCAGAACTTGCCAGAAAAAAATGTTGTTCAGTCATGCACGTTTGCTAAAGCGCTTCAGAGCAAAGGATGTCTAAATCTGCACCATCATGGTATGTGGGACACATAGTTACCTCTCAACAACACATGGATACCACAACCCTTTTCCTATCTCCTGGACGGTCACACCTTCGTGGCAGTTTTTCGTCCATATGCTGTTGCATGGAGGTGTCATGGTAATATCGGGCTCAAGTACCAGAGTAGTCGCGGAATCCGAAAACTCTAACGGTTAGACTTCAATATGTCTCTTTCAGTCTGAGCTAGCCTGCTCTGGCGTTCGGCGCTGAGAAGGCGGGCAGAGCTTCGCAAAGTCCTCGCTCTTGCTGAGGCCACCTGGCATGTGATGATAGTCAGCTTGGGAGCCATCCATGATCTGCCATTCAGTTGAGTGGCGAAGGGCAAGGATGATGAAAGCTGCCGTGAGCTGTGCAGAGTTCATCCGCTTGGCACCAAGGAACTCCTGCACCGACAAACAAGGAAAAGCGAAAACGACGCGAAAAGACAGCTGCCCAGTGCCCAGCAACGCCTTATGCTCTTGCAAACGGCAGAGGGCCTGAATCGACATGAAGGTCTTCTGGGTCAGACGCATCTGGGGCTTCTGGCAGTCCACAATGCTTTTGTAGTCGTCCTGTCACACGCAAAGAGCCGCTTGGCAAAAGCTCATATGATGCGCAGCCCGTCCTTCATTATCCAGATGGTGCTCAGCAAGGAAAGCACAGCTCTCTCAGCCTCATCCTGCTGAGGCACGTGCAGAAGCGGAATTCGTGACGCAGGTCTCCATCACTGGGCCGGGTCCTCCAACTGAAGAAGGGCATAAATGCCACTATCTTCCCTCAGCTCTGGAAACTTGCGCTTGATGAGCTGGACCAGATCCTCATGCAAGGCAACGCAAGATTCTTAACTGCTACACAAGTCAGCGCAGGAACAGGATGTCTGGGAAAGGGTCGGTGTTGTCAAGACCTGGCTCGAGGAATTCGTCCACGAGAGTTGTAAAGTCAGTCTCCTGCAGACAATGCGGGCAGTAATTCACAGGTGATGTCTCTGAATCGCAAGAAGACTAACTGGAACGCGGCATCCTCAGAAGACTTGAAGCTGTGCATTCGACCCATTCCCGGATTCAGCAAGTCCTGTGGCACTTGCGCAGACTTCATGCGACCATACCACCGGATGTAAAACCCACAAGGAGCCAAGTCGCTGCCAGTTGAGTATGCTGAACGCTGTCTTCAGCCAAGGTCCTTAGGCAACTTCCACAGGAAGTGTGCAAAGCTAGAACAGCGCTCTCTTAAGCCTCCTTAGGTTTGCACATTCAAGATCTGCTAAGAATGCATGCTCTGTGGTGGGGTGAAACGGTGAATCATATATTCATCAGCATTTTCGATGAGCATCGGAGGAAGAAACTCCCAGTTGGAGTCCTTGTCACGATTCTTCCTGGGCAAACAGTTGGGTCACCACTGCTGTATTTGTGTACAGAACTTCAACTATCCTGACGGACTTTCCGTAGACTTACTGGTCCTTAGCAGCGAATAAGGGAATAGAATCCCTATATAATCCCTACATGATGTTCCCTTATTCCCTGGCCTAAACCCCAAAGCCTATACATGTATCCATGTATACGTATACATATACATATATATATATAGACATACATATACCCTTGTTCCCTACTAAGAACCAATAAGTAGAGTGCTGACGGGCTGCGAAAACGAGAGCAACAGCCTGAGCGCATACCTGGTATAGCACATTACGTGCGGCCCTCTGCGAAGAAGACTGCACATGGGATAGTAGAGAGGTTCTATAGGGATAACATGGGGTTACATGGGGATATTCTTGGGGTTATAAATAGGGATACTATAGCGGAATAGGGGATATAAGGGTTCATAGGGACATTACAGAGTTACATAGGGGCATGTTGCTCTCCTGAATAACTGCTCTACTGCCGAGCTGCTCGTGTACCGCCACTACCGATCCAGGTGATTCCTGGATAGCCTCAGGCAATCTTCATGTAGGAACAGAAGGGAGATAGTAGGGGGTTTAGGGTTTAGGGTAGGGATATAGTATATACTTAGGGGTCAAAGGGTTTCCCGTGTACCTACTTTGGGGCATTTTGGAACCCAAGTATATACTACATGGACCCTTTGGGATAGGGTTTAGGGGATTCCGTTCCTGGCCAACAAAGTGTGGGATACACATCTGTGACATGCTGTGGCATGCATTCGTTCATACAAGCCGGTCCTTCACAAACTCTGCGACCGGAGCTTTCAACACCTAGCAAGAGTTCGTCGTGCATCTTGCAACAGGTGTGTTTGTGTTAGGACTCAAGTTACCTGCCTTTGAATAGGTCCGCGCCGTCAAACAGGCTGAATGATTCCTCAAGTCACACTGTCTACAAACTCTTCAGATCACTGCAAACTTTGCATGCAACTACTCTCATGTTGCTGCAAGGCTCATATTGGCATAGAGGCACAACTCCTTGGCAAAGGATCACAACGTCTAGATGTCGGAGCTCTTCGTTTCTCGCAGAGCCCCAACCGTTCACTAGGAACTACTGTCAGGAATTCTGAGGTCCGTTGACAGGGTTCACTGCAAACTTTTGCGAGCATGTAAAATTCAGTTGCTCATTGCGGGCTACTTCCTGAACTGCGAATCCTGTTATGAGGTGCTGACCGCAAGCCATTCATCCGGATGAACCATGATACCTGGCGACGCTGCAGCCAGGTCCAAGAGGTTGCTTGGCTGAAGACAGTTGCCCTATAAGCCATAGTCTAAACTCCTGGTATCCCCCTCAATATCCCCCTGTTTTGAATCCCATATATAACCCACTTTAAGGAGTTTACTCTATAGCTCACATGTTGCCACCTGCCTGCATCCATCTCGGTTTCTTTTCGGCTCAAGCGATGGAGTCCAGCGCCATCCTCCACGGCGCACAGCTTCCAGACGAGGCTGACATCAAAGTGGTATCTTTTTTGCGTGCGGAAACGTCATACTGCAAGCCAGGAGCAGCCCGTGGCAAGTGCATGATGAACTGCCCACCGCCGGTGATGAAAAGACCTGGGAGGTTGCCGCATTATTTCATACAAGGGTTTACTGACTGAAAGGGTCGCACCATCTGCCCTCTTTCCTTGCTGGAAGATGTCCTCCCCCTGCACGGAGTTCACAGTTTTGAAGGCCGCACTTAATCGGCCAGAAATGCCCACGCGATCCTTGGAACCGTGGACTTGCCTACTCAACACAGTACAGACGACGCATAGTACAGAAGACACTCAATCCCAGGATCATCCATCAGAAGATGGAAGAACTGGTGCTTCGCCAGCTTCTGCCCGGTCTTGACGATGTGGAGCTCTTCCAGCAGGGTGCTGGGCAGGAACTTGAGAGCTATGGGCTCCTTGATGTCCATGGGCGAATCTTTCGACTCGAGCACATCTGTCAGGGAGTCCAGCAACTTCCTCAGAGGCATTTTTTGTGTGAACATGTTCAAATGCACCGCTGAAGCTAGAAGGCTGGGCTTACGTAATCTAATCTTGTCCAATGCCAATGTCCCGTGAAAATGTCTTAAGAACCTTCAATGGCTCTGTGATGCAGCAGGGCCGCCGCGTCAGTTTCTCCGGGGCATGGGTCTTAAATAGCCACCGCTGCAAGTCCTCAGGCTGAGCCACTCATCTTTCCGCACTGCTCCAAAAGACTGGGTTGCTGCTGAGGAACTTAAATTAATTTACCATATTGCGGATCTACCTTAAAAAACTGGGTTTCCTCATTATAGCAGCTTCGTTTAAGTTCCTCAATAGCAGCCCAGAAGGCCAAGAGACTGAGGCTCGGGCTCTTCGCACGGTGTCTCTTTCCTGTTCAAGTCCCAGAAGCAAAAATCGCGAACATTTGCCATTTTCACGAGCTATAATCTAAACTCCTAGTATCCCCCTTAAAAAACCCCGCTAATACTCCCCTACGTAATCTCCTACATAACCCCCCTCTAAGGAGTTTAGACTATACCCTGAACCCTACATAGTAGTTTCCATATTCTCCCTATATGACCCAATACATTATAGTAGTTACCAATTTTCCTTTCCATTATCCCCATATGGTCCCCTATATCATCCCCTTATGGTTTTCACCAGCTCCTCGCCTTGGCTTTTTCCTTCAGCAAATTCAAGGTACCACCAATTTTCCCGATCTGCGCTCCGAGCAAAGGCAAGCAAGTCAAGATGATGACCTCATCTGAGCTATAGTCAAAACTCCGTAAAAGGGATTATATATGCTCTTGCAAAGCTGACTTCTCCCAACTTCAAGTAACAAAGACAGATCTGGGCCGTGCGGCAATGGTTGCGGATTGCTCATACTCGTTCTGAGGCTGATAAGGAAAAGGTGCAGGAGTGTACCTAGCAAGCATGGCTGCTTTTTTGTGCAAGTATCCAGTCTCATGCGCGCAGCCACAACAAAGCTCAATTTGGTGATAATGTCTGATGACATCTGCGAAATCCAAGTTGCTGAGCGATTGCCCAATTGAAGCACTTCCTGACAGCAGACAAGGAAATCAAGGGTTGCAAACAGAGGAAAGAGAAAAGCAGGGATAGAGTCAGAGGCAAGGGCAAAGGGCTTTAAAACCTTTGATGCCAAGAGACATGTACTGGAAGCCCGGGCCATCCGCGGTAATGTTGTACTCGTCGATCCAGTTTTGGAGGCCCTGCTCCGCTGAGAATCTCCCGGCATAGAACAGGACGCAGGCAAGGACATGGTTGACCGCAAGAACTTGGGCTATGCATTGGAAAATGGTCAAGTACAGAACGAACTTCATGTTGCCCTTCGCAGCAAGGCGGTTCTCGAGTGCGATCATGACCTGAATGGGCGGCATAATTAAAACCTTGCACTGCACACGTCCTCACTCCAACGCTGCTGAGAAGCTCCACGAAACTTCATGATTCGCGTCAGGCGCAGCAAAGTGAGGGCACGCCAACGGTCTTCGATCAGCTCAAGCAAGAGCACCATGTCCAGAACCACGATACCAACCTGACCAAAAAAAAACAAGGCAGAGGTAGCCAAACACAGCAATGTCCGAGCTGCTTTAGGAACCGCAGCACAAGGCGACTGGTAAACATGTGCTTAGGTGTCAGGGCCCCGGCATCCAGAGGAAATCTGGTGCCTGAGTCAGAACACGTTAGATTAAGCGCTGTATCAACTCCTGCTCAAGGTAAGCACCGCGCGAAGGTATGACCAAGCCACCATTGGGGAGACTTGCCTGAATATGAGCTTACTCTGGCATGGACGAAATGACAATGACAGCAACCAAATGATCGAAGTATGCCTGTCTCCGCGTGGTGCCCATGCTGACTGTTTATGTGCTACAGGCAGCAAAAACAACGACGACGACGGTGACGACGACGACCACAACAACAACAACAACAACAACTACTACTACTACTACTACTACTGCTACTACTACTACTACTACCCCTACTAGTACTACTACCACTACCACCACTGCCACCACCACTACTACAACTACAACTACTACAACGACTACTACTTCAACCACAGAATCAGGCAGGAAGCCTAAACCCCTAAACCCCAGGAATCAGGCAGGAAGCAGAACCGCAGGAACGAAGGACATGAAGATATCGAAGCTCCAAAGGCCAGGACCGACCTACAGGCATCAAAAACCCTACTGGTGCTTTAGAAGGACTGGGGGAGTGAATGTAGGGTTTAGGGTTGAGGGGTTTAGGGTTCAGGGAGTGAATATGGGTGCCATTTTGCGTGTATATATGAGGATTCTATGGGGATTACTACGGTAAGCAGCTGGTCAGCTCAAGGTCAGCTGCTGCATATATTGGTCACTGAAACTTCTCCACCACTGAACATCTCTTCATGCGCCAGCTGTCCGTGTTTATGCACTCTCTGAGTCACCATCGCGCTTGATGTGTTTCCTTACTTTATGCATGTCTCTAAACCCTAAACCCTAAAGCCTAAACCCTAGATCCCGGACCTGAACCTTGAACTTTGATTCCTTGCCCCGAGTCTCCTCAGAAAGGCGCACCTGGAAGTAGAAAGTAGTAGGGCTGTCTGCAGTAGGATCAGATGGCCAGGCCAATGCCAAGGGAATGAGGACGGTGTCAAGGACAACAAGAACCAGCGTGCAGATTTGCCAACAGTAGTGCGCACTGGAAAGCCAGGCCCAGCCTCGGGAACTGAGAACATAGAAAAGAAGAGGAACATCTAACATGCTGCCTCTCTTTCATGGCCTAAACGCCTAGGCTCCTGACAATTGTATGAGAATTCTCCCCCATAGCGAACGCTGCTCATTCTGTGGTTGCCGTCTTTGGCACCTTGCATGTTCTCAACGCAAACTGCAAAGAAGTTCTTGCACAGACGTGGGCCTCCAAGCTGTCGCTTGATACAGTTATGTCGCAGCTCTCAGTTCGAGACTGTATAGGTTGTTGTACATCACAATAGCGTCCTCCTCCGAAACGACAAAGCTCTCGCTCCAGTCATCCTCAGAGCAGCTGGCTCTCGATGATACTCTAGGAATCCCGCCTCCTTTCTTATCAGAGGTTGCGACCTTTGAACTTCTATTCCTAAAACGGAAGTTCTATGGTGTTGCTTACACATTGCAGTCCGCAATCAGAGTACCTGATCCAGGATCTTGGCCCAAGCATGCCTTTCCAGAAGCCTGTCTTGCCTTCGCAGTGATAGGTCACAAAACTGAAATGCGGCACATGGTCCAAAAGCCGCAGTCCACCTGGCAAGGGCACAGCAGCTACTCATCAGGCTCCATCCAGGCCATTACTGTTCCCTGTATTGCTGTACGATCATTACTGTCATTTTTGCTCTCATTGTGTTCCTCTTACTATGATCATTCCAACTTCTATTTCTTTTCTTCTGATTACTAATTAACTTCTTCGGGTTCTGGCCTTTCTCGCCGGCCAGGGAGAGGTTGTTTTCAGAGCGCTTCTTAGCCAGCGACGTGTTCTGGCTCCGTGGTGCTCGGGCCATGGTTGGCACGCCATCCACGAGCTCAAACTTCTCCTTAGCCTTGGGAATGGCAGAATATTAGTAGTAATGGTAGTAAGAACAATAGTAAGCATAGTAGTAATGGCAATGGAAAGAATAATCATTACTATTATGGCAATAATACTAATAAAAATAATGGTAATAGTGGTCATATTCGGATGCTGCCCAATACATTTGGCAACTTGATGGACTAGTCTTGTGTGAGAGCAACTGTGACGATGCCGCAAAATCCTATCAAACTCCTCGGCATGATCAGACATGCTGGCTCCTAGTGTCTGCATGAAGGCAGCACTCAAGTTCGCACTTGTTCCATTCCGCACAACACTTCCTATGACAAGGTGTACAACAACTATCGAACGAATGACACACGTCGACAAACACATGCTTCTGCGACCAGCAAGACACTACCCCTTCATAAGGTTGAAAAATGAAGCTTGCATGGCATGTGCCATTGCTGTCATCGTCTGAGCATAACATACCACAGCCGCATTTTAAAACAAAACGTTCAACAGGTCAAGATGCTTGCCCCTTGTCCGATTCTGCCTGAGTCACGGCGTAGGGTGCAGCGTAAGTGGAAAATCCAGATCTGACAACTGTGAGCGTAGATGTAAGACAGCAAAGGAGCCCTTGCTGATGCATCTTGCCGCGTTTGCCGCTGGTCCTGCAACAGATACGTACACAAAAAAACCTGATGGTTGCGTGCGGTTGCGCATGCGGCTACGTGAAATGCACTTCTTGGCACCCAATCCTCCAGCGCAGACATCTCTGCATCATTGAGCATCTCTGGCAAACCTTGAAGTGCGGCTTGCATGCCATCGTAGGTACCGTTCAAGGCCTGCCAGAACGCCGCACACAAACCAACCAAACCTAAGTAAAGCAGCATAGTTGGCGACACTATGCTGACAGCCTGTAGGCATGTGGCAAATTCACGATGCAAGCGCTGCAGCTCCGACAAAGATTCTTCGATTCCTGGCGAGCTTCCAGATCAAGATAACACGATTGGACACATTTGGACACATGCAAGTTGGTGTAGCCTTTCATACCAGCGTGACTGTCGCGGCTGCCCTCATCGCATGGAAGCCGTCAACATGATGTTGCTCAAATGTCTCTGATGTAATGCACTGCAGCTTTGGAACTACTATTACTTTACTTCTGATATTATTACTACTTTCATTCTTACTGTCACTCATGTTCCACATGAGCTATAGTCGATGCAATGAAGGTGGTGGTGGCGCAATTCCAAGGGCAGTACAATGCTGTGCTGGATTCTACTCTACCAGATGTTGTTTTGCGGTGCATTGGTTCGGGGCTGCCGCCGAAGATGGCTACAGGTGGGAAACAATTAAAACCAACGCATTTCAGCACATGCAAACACATACATGCGGCAATTATTCCTGCTACGCATCGTTGTTTTGCATTCATGGCAGAAAATCTGCAATTGCGATCCGGTGCCCAACAAAAATACCCACTTGCACCTGTCAATTCATCATATTCAAAAGGAAGTACTCGAAGACCGCATCTTTCAACAGCTTTGCTCTCGAAAATGAAGTAATATGTACTTGCCCGCTCCCTCTTCTTCTTCTACTACTAGCTATACTGACCCGCAAAGGAGCCGGCTCTCTCTCTCTCTCACCCTCTCTCTTGAAATGCAAGCTGCGGCCCTCGTGGTTGCGGCCATGCATTTTGCCAGCGCGCTTGGTCTTCGTGCTCAGACCTCAAAGGATCTCGAAATCAAAGATAGATTTCTGGATAGCTTTTTGTGGCTGCATACTCTCTTGAATATGGGACCCTCATCAAGAATCTGTTTGGCATCATGCACCAATCCAAGCAGTCTAGACTCCGGCAGTTCAGCTGTCATGGTGAATAATTCCCGCACCCAGCACGATGTATCGAAATGAAACTGGATAACTCTTGGGATCTCCCTGTAAAAGCAAAATCCAGAATGCTTTGTCACAAAACTCTGAAAAATCCTATGAAGGTGCAATAGACCTATGCTTATGATTACTATCCCTATTGCATGGTACTATTGCAGAGACTTGTCCAACTCTCGACGTCCCCTAGACATTAATCTAGGCTGAAACTATCAGTGTAACGCTAGGAAACCTCCAGAATAACAGCCCAATTTTGACTAATCCTGTAGACTCTCTAGATTTGTCTTGCAAAAAGTCTGTGCAGCATCGCTATGATCATCCAAAAATCCCGAAATGTCAAAGCCGGCGGAAGGAGGAAAAACCCAGCGGACTGCGTGAACTAAAGACAAAATTCCTCTAGTGTACGAGCCAAATGCACTCTTTCTATTTCTTCCGGCTCCTGGAGTACGCACGAGAATTATCACGATAAGCTTTGTGGCGATCTGCACTAGCCAAGGCAAGAGGAACCATTATGAGTGCTTGCATGTAGAGCCTTTGCCTAGCTTTAGTCAGCGATGCGCATGAACACAAAACTCTCCCCTTTAGGCTGCAGTCCCCTCTATGAAGAAAATGCTGAACTTCGATTTGGGACATTTCCCGTCTTGTTTCGACATATCCAACTTGCATTTTCTGTTGTTGTTTAAAGAGAGCCGAAGGGATACGGGTATGTGGTCCGTGCTTGGGTTCTAGGATCAGTCCAGTTCGGGTTGAACTGGGCAAGTCATGCATTCTACCAGAGACTTGCGGGAGCTTCAGCCAAAAAAAGGTTTGAGAATTGTAGAGCACCACGAAAGCATTGGGCGCTTCAATTCCAAGCACATGCAGGCTTCCGGGCTGCTTAAGTTTGGGTCCAGAGAGGCTAATAACAAACCCAAACAGCAATCAAAGTAGGAGCGGCTGATGGTTCTAACTCATGAACGGAATCTTCGCAACAGGCGGCAGCAAACAACAATGATGGACCAAGGATGCCGCAACTTCTGTTAAAAGCCAGATACTAATCATCATAATAATAAGAATACAGATAACAACCGTAATAGTTATAGTAGTAATATGGCTATCATTACCTGCTTGAAGCTCCAATGTTTTGCATGAAGTGGTGATTTGAACTTGGTGCAGGTAGCCGCCAAGTTTATGTTCATGTCACGCCCGCCGACACGAGGCTTACGAACGGAGGATGCTGAAACTTAATGTCGCCACATTCATAATTCAAGCGCGCTGTCGAGGTGCAAAACAGACAGTTGATCAACTATAGGCATGTATGTATACATGAAGTTTACATAGTCTAGATAGGCACCCTGGAAATTTCATCCCCTTCCCATTAACCAGTTTCTATGTACGGGCGAAAGCTCCCTGAAAAGTCCCACCACTTTTAAATGCCTGCGCAGGTGGCATGCATTGCCGACTACTGAGTTCACCGGATAATTCTGCCAAGCGTTTTCTTGCCAAAAAAATGCAGGGTTTCCAGGCGTGCATGCGCGGTTGCCCTGAGATCTCCCATCTTTGTCACGGGAATGCCAGCACAAAGCACCATCTAGGTTTCAGGTTCTTGAATGTCGCTCAACGACAGACATCATATAGCTTTGAACAACCTTGCCAAGAAACACGCGGCAACAGAGGACAATCGTATTGAGTCAAAGTTGCCTGCGTCAGGGTGCAAACCACGGCCTGTCAGACGGATCAGGATCTGAGGCATAGTCAATCAAGAGACCTTCAATCTCTGCTCGCATCTGATCAGTTTCCGAGCTGCAAACTGTATCAAAACTTGGCTTGCGCATCAAGCTGGTCACTTATTCAGGTAAACCAAAAGTCATCAAGTTACGATTAACAACGGAGCGGTCCTAATGGCAGAAACTATTCAAAGCTGTATGTATCCTCACATCATATTGAAAGGCACCTCCCCTTCCAAGGTCCTCCTCGCTTCTCAAAGAGACAGCAACCTGCTGATGGTAAATGCACTCAAGTCGATCGCTGCTCATGGAAGAGCGGCTGCGACCTACTCCGGGCACATGGAACGTCACCCGCATCCTCCTAGTACACTTCATTGGGGCTATGGGACCCCTCATGGTGGGCACTCATGGGCCCTAAACCCTCAACCCTACACCCGGGTTTAATTATGTTTTAGGGATGGTGGTTCGGAGCGGCTCCAAGGCTTTTGTAATCTCTAAAAGAAGTCTTGGTGTCCTGAGAGAGTATCCCTTGTGTACTTCGCACGCCCTCTTCTTGCCTTTCATATGCTTGTTCACAATATGAACGCCCTGGTCCAAATGAACCTTGGACTAAGCTTGCTCCTGCCCCCAAAAGAAACCCCTAACATCCGTGAAGGATTGCTTGTCTGTTCCTTTTGAATTACAGCTTTCAAGGCCTAAAGAGGATCGGGATCTGCGGTTCACACCGGTTCATTCATTGACTCCCTGGGCACTGCCAGAACTTCTGCCTAAGCCTGCGGCCTGAGCAGTAGCCCGCTTCTGCTTAAAAACTCAGCAATCAGCCCTTTTGTGCGGTTTTGCACAAGCCTATGAGTATTCTTGAGCCTCTCTAAACTTTGCAAAGGCCTGGTCTGGGCTTCTGCATCCGCGTTCTGGGCTGTCTGGCCATGCGGTTGCCAGTGCCATTGACTTTGCGCAGGCACAGTGGGCATGCCAGATGCTGAGCATCAGCCAAAACGGAACAAACTTGTTCTTGCATGCCCGTCTCAGGACTAACTTGCAGCTAAACAAACATGCCTTAACTTCTCTGCACCCTCACTACACCATGAAGAAACGGCGTGGAGGATGCACCATGCCGACCTGAGATTTATGAAGCTTGCATCGCTCAGCTAAAGCAATCTGAAATGAGTAAGACCACTCGCTGTGCTGAATTCTGTCGATTGGTGCAGCTTCTGTCGCTATTGCTGCTTTCCCAGAAGGCTTTAAGATTCCCACCGCATGTATGAAATGTCCAATGCTGCTTCTTCCAAACCAAGTCACAAAGAGTCACAAGTCTCACTTGGTTCATCAGTTTGCCAAGATGGCAAAACTGATTTCCAGGCCAAGGTGCTAAGCGCAGGTCGGGCCTCTTGGTCCCTGCAATCGCTCCACAGTTGATGACCTCCATTACCAAGATTTGAAAGGCACACGGGATGTAGTATTCCAGGGTGTAGGCATCCATACATCAAACATGTGTTCATGGTTTGAGCTGCTTGGTTCACGACCGCATGCTTTCTGTGCTCTGGCACTGTCTGATGGCAAGTAGACCGCGTGAATGGGTCTCTTGGTCCCTACACCTTCTGTTGCAGGGTGTTGCAGCAACACGTTACTCCAAGGGAATAGGTTATCTGAGAAAGATTCCGCTGTGCGCGTGAGAACTCTCAGAATTGCTGGCTCACATATCAACAGGCACCATGAACTCATGTAGACACAATGACCCACTCGAACATAGGCGAGGGACGGCGGCAGCTGTCGCAGCTGCAAAACGCTCAATGGCTTCCCCAAGTTTCGACTGATCTTGTCCACACTGGTACAGGTTTTGGAACCTTGGCAAAGAACGTCCAAGATCCGTCTTGGAACGTTCCATGCTCCGTATACCCTTTCGGAAGGCAAGCTTGCAAACGAATAACACACAACTCGTTCCGATGTTATCCTTTGCAGTGCCAACCTCTGCACGGAATCTCCGCTTAAAGAGTTGCCCAAATTTGTTGTCGCCAACAAGCTGCTATGCGAGGGCAGTCATTTCTGTCGTCCAACCGGTCCTTTTCGGAATCCTAACTAACAGATCAGAGCAGCATGTAGAATGGGCACTCGTAGTGGTTGCGCGCAGCGTTCTCAGCAAAGTAGCCCAGGGAAGCCACCCTTAGTGAAGAGCTAAATTACTGAGAAGGGAAGGGTTTAGGCCTTAGTTTGCGGGTGCCACTGGGCACTTTCAGCAGACACATCAATGCAGGTCCCTTCAACATGAGCTTTACAAATTGGATCTGAACCATTGCCGTAGGACGTATAACCCATCTGCTAGAAGGACTTTGAGGCTGTATAAAGGTTGGAGAACACATGTAGTGTGTCCGTCGAATCCGGCCGCTTCCAACAACAAATCAAAACAGCCTGGCAAGTTCTTCCTATGTGAGCGATGCTCAAAAAGCTCCACATGCGACTTTTAGATTCTGAATCGGGGTCTTAGATTGAGGGCCGTATATCAAAGGGCGTAAGAAGCTTAGACTATAGCTTCAGGAAAATCTAAATCCAACCCCCCATGGAGCTGCTGCTGCCCCCCCAAGAATCCGAAAATCCCAGCGCTCCAACAACAACACCACCGAGATTGTCAGGTTTAACTCAATAATGCAAATCTTCTCATTTGCAGCCATCTTCATTGCACGATAGAAGCCTCCAATCGGGAGGCTTCCCACACGGGTCAGATCCTTGTTAAAAGCATTCTAGGAGCGTGAGTAACAAATCAGGTTTATTTTTTCATCACAGAAACCCAACCTGAACACCATAACAAGTGATCACAACTCATTGAGACCTGACCATAATTGTCCCGGCAGCATGAAGGCAATCATGCTCCCACAAGCTGCAGGCAGTGCGTTGGTAGCATCGCAAGATTCCAAAGACTCCGCAATGTACCTGTCTGCAAAGCATTCAAGCATGCTTCCGCATGTACAGTTTCGGGCGATTACCAGCAAAGGACCCTGTCTCCAATTGAAAAGGCGAAGCTTTCTGCTGGCAAAGCGAAATTAGTTCTTCGTTGTATTCACCTTCAATTTCACAAATCTATATCCTCATGGCCTTGGCAGTGCAAACTCCCTAGGTCTGAGTTGGGACACTAAGCACGACTCACCTGGACACCAAGTCAGAACTGGCATTAGGCGCAGCGGGATCTGGCCGTCGGGCTTTATATACCCGCCACTAGGCCCACGAGCAAAACCAAAAAAAAATCAGCTTCACGTCACAGTTTTAGAAGTCGACCTATTCTCGCTCATGCGACTTTCCAGGTACTATCTGCCCGCCATAACCTTGTGGGACCTTTGCTTAATAGGTCGGCACTGGTTCTTAGGAAAGCATACCAAGCATTATGTAGAAAGGAGTATGGACATCGCTTCCTGGCTCATGCTGAGTGGGGAATGGGAATGGATGCCTCGAGTAGTAGCCCCGGTCTGATTCCCGCTGTAATTGCCATGGTTGTTCCTTATCATATCTTCCCCATCCCCTTACAAAAACAAAGGCGCAGCAAGTTTCATCTTCAAGCCCAGGAACGCCGTGCCAGAGCCAATCAGCTTCGACATGGAACCTTCAGAGTTGGCTGTATCAATGGGTTCGGCAGAATTGCTTTTTTGGGGGTCTAATAATGAGGAGAATAGTATTTTGGGGTCTAGAGTGGGGCCCCTTCTTCAGGGAACTCCACAGCACCCCGCCACCCAACAATCAACCCCCATCCTATTGAGCGACATGGCATATTTACTACTAGGGTGTCGGCCGTTGATAATAAGGGGGAGCGGACTATGACGGTTTAAACTTGTTCGCCCCCCTTCAAGGAGATACCTTTCCATTGATTCGAATCAGTTTTTGGATGTCTATATGTTCGAGCATGGTAATTTCATCTAGGGTCAAGGATTCATGCGGTGCTAAAGGAGAAGATCATGCATCACATTCATTACATTCGAGGTTTGGATCTGGTTCTACCTGTGTGCAAGACCCTGAAACAAGGGATCCGTGTCTGGGACCGGTAAGATGGATACTACTATGTACTGTTGCGGGACTACATCGAAATCAGTCGGAGCAGGTTTTGGAGCAGCAATGACTTAGGATCTGTACAATCGAAACATGCAGGACTAATATGGGGGACTACTATAGGGCTTATTAAGGGGGATACTAGGAATTTAGACCCTAAACCCTAAATACTAAACTAAACCCTAGGGTTATGGAATCAGATCTGGGCCTTTGCGGGGTTTCTTTAGGGTATTTCCACGGGAGCGTAGGCTTCTTGCAAGGCTGAGGTTGCCGAAACACTGTATTGTAACCGGTCATGGAAATTCTGACTACGACGTGGCCCTTAAGATCCTGTAGACTTCCAGCCATTAAACTTGAAAAGCAAGGAAGTCTAAACTCCTACCATCCCCCTTAACAACCCCTGTAATACTCTCCTATACACTCCCGTAAATAACCCCCTTTGAGGAAGGCTGTAGCTCATGCTTGAATTCAAAGCCACATGGCGCTGAGGCGAAGACCTGTGTACCTCCCGCACTCTCCTTGGATCTCCCTGTTGTCTCCCCAAACTTTCTGCCGCTCCTGTTCAGGTTTTAGGGCTTTAGTGGTTGAACGTATGGGTTTAGGGTTTAGGGGTTTTGGGTTTAGGGGTTCAGGGATTTAGAGGTTTAGACTTTAGGGTTTAGGGTCTGCCAAACAATAGGAAAACAATGAGTGTTCTTCTCTTTGATGTTCTTTGCCATTAAACTGGGATAGAACAGGAAAAACTGCACAAAATACCAGAATAAAGTTCCTATATGGCACCTAATTATGGGCTGATTTATGTGCTGTTAAGGAATCTTGGGGAGTTTAAAACCAACGCGTCTCCGACGAACAACCCTCCCTCATCAGCAAGCTTACACCCTAAACCCTAAACCCTAGACCCCAACCATGTCCGTTGCTCCGCAGTTGCAGACCTTAGACCGCACGAACGTATGTCCAAATCCAAGTGCATGCAAAGTCCATGATCGCAGATCTTCGCTGCTATTCAGTCTGCAGCATGGGATGCTTGTGCTGCTACGAAGCAAAGTCTTCTTCGTTGCGATCGTACGCGCAGCATCTTCGGAGTGGCAGACATTTGTCGTGGACAATTGCCCCAACCTTGCAGGGATGAGCTGAAAGAAACAGCATTCCAAAGAAAAAACTTGCTAGTCCTTGGGTGGGGGTTCGGAGGTGAACCTCTAAGCTATTCTCCCAGAAGAGTCCCTGTGGCCACTCCCTTGAAGAAGCAGCAAGTAAAAGGACAGAAGTACTACTACTGTGGTTTGCAATTTTATCCCCTTAGCCGGAGGGTTCCAGGTTTTAGCATCCCGCCCCTTAGAAATTGCACTTATATAGCTCCAAGTTTCAAGTTCGCATAGGAATTGCCTGGGGGTTCGGCTGGGGGCTTAACCTGATCGGCAAGGACTGGGCAGTTTGCCTGACTATGACTGCGCAAGTGAGGCCAGGAGCCGCGTCAGCATATGGTGATGGCTCTCATCCCCTACTAGGATCATGCAATGGCCTCCAGCAATGATGTAAGTAGCAGTATCGCATGCTCGCTCTGACTCAAGACATGTGACCTGACCGATGCCCGCAAAGGCTGCCATGGCAAGGAGAATGTTCTGCGAACAGACCTGATGTCGGGTGCCGATTTTGATGCACTCAGACTTGGATCCTTGTCAGGCCTTGTTGGATGTGTGTAATTGTCTGTGAATGGAAAAGAAGATCAGAATTACAACAGCAAACAATGGCAGATGTTTGCAAGTCGTGCCGACAATAATGCCGTGTTTGCTGCTGGTAGGGTAGTGCAGACGCAATTGTTCTGGTATATAGTGTATGACCTAGGTGCGTGCTGCTCGTGGTCAAGATCACAGTATGTCCTAGAGAGGTAACATCAACAACAACAACAGTCAGATAAGAGTTCGAGCACATGATGTGAAGTGTTCTAGTCTGAAGGTCGAGACAAACAGTTTAGAAATCCACACACCATCTGACGGAAGCTGCCTGCAACACTCCGAACTCTCAAAATGCATGCAAAACAGGATGACTTCTGCAAGCAAAAACCAACCTGGCTCGGATGTTCGTTGTAGCTCGCAATCGCCCGGGTATTTTTGACACCAATTCTAAAGACATGCGGGGCAGTGCTGCATGTGGCTAATCCAGTTTTGTCAGCCTTCAAATCACCAATCCGTAAGGGTACTCAATCATATAGTAGTTTCCATTTTCTCTTCCATTATTCCCATATAACCCCAATATATACCCTATTCTACTATAGCAGCTTCCATTCTCTTTCCATTATCCCTGTATAACCCCAAACCCTAAACCCTAGGCCCTAAACCATATAGTAACCCAATATAACCCCAAGTATAACGCCAATAGTACCCCAACAAGGTATCTCCATGGCAGCTGAACGTTTCTAAGCGGCTGTGCCGGTGTTGGAACAACTTCCGCCGGCTCGGGCGGCCTTGCCGGCACTGTTTTAGAGACTATAGGGTTTAGGGTTTAGGGTTGAGGGATTGGGGAAAATGGAAACTACTATAATATCATAGGGTATATATTGGGGTTATATTGGGATAAGGGAAAAGAAAATGGAAACTACGATATTGGGTTATATCAGGATTAGAGGGTATGTATTGGGTTTATACAGGGATAATGAAATAGAAAATGGAAACTAAGGGTTTAGGGTTTAGGTTACATAAATCCAAGCCAACAGTCTGACATCTGCATCTACACACGGATTTCCCACAATTAGTGCCATTTTGGGGGTGTCCCTGTAAGAAGGACTATAGTATTCTGGGGGTCTAGGCGTGGGTCCCCTATTTAGGAATAATACCACATAATTAGTAAGGTGAGAAGAGACGACCTGTAGTGGTTGTAGCTAATGCCTGAAGAAGCTCACCATATCCCAGTATGCCGCATGTCCGAGCCATAGAACATACTTAACAATAGTAAGAATACTAGAAATACTAATATGGATAACAATAACTAAAATAAGGTAACACTGACCACACTGTGCCAACCTTGCTGTCCTCTGAGAGCTTGATGGCTAAACGCACAGCAAGAGAGGTACTTGGATCCATCTCATATTATATGCATTTTCAATAGCTCCCAATAAGAAAACAATAATAATAATAACAAACAGCATATGCGCGGCTGTTCGAGCGTTCTGGGATTTCTATTGGAAGTTGCATGGGAAAACATGCAAGCATGAAGCTGCCGCGCACAGCCGCACAGCCTATGGTATGTTGCTGACAACTGCAGGCTGACCCTTTCTTGAAATTCTGCTCGAATAGTACCTAGGTATGGCTAGGAGTTAGCAGAATGCCACATGCTATAGCACGAATTGTCACATGAGTCAGAGGGAGGAGGAGCTACAGGTGGCACACCATGCTCAGACTTCCGGAGTGAGTGGTTGGCACCTCTTGGTGCACCTGATCGGTCGTCATGTTTCTATAGTTGCCCCAATGCAGGGTGGAACCTTTAGGCTCCGCAAGCGGCGTCAGAATTTTTGAGGAGGTCAATTGACCCTTCGCATGGTCGCGGAGAAGCGTGATGCCGCATCGCACTGCGAAGTTGGGACAACTCGCCCTGTTGGAGCCCATATAGGTGCTGGACTTGCTCAAGCGCTTGGGCCGCGGCACAGACTTCTTCAAGAGCAAGATGCTTATATCAGTTGGCCACTCGGGCCAAGTTGGATACCGTGAAAAAGGGCGACCCTTGGCCAAGGCGTTGCAAAGTACGTTTGTTCTCCTGGCAGTCTAGACTCCTTCCTTGCTGGCATGGGTTAAGAGAGATTGGAACCTGGCTGATGGCACCTCCGAGCTCTGACAGATTGATGCCGAGGCACAAAGACGTGCCGAGAGGAAAGCGAAGAGAGACGCATTAGGGACTTGGCAATCACAGGTTGTCGCCAAAGGCAGAGCTGTTCGCTAAATGATGTTTCATGGTGCCGGGGGTTTTGCCCGGTTCTGGTAGCTTTTCCACCCTTAGCTACGGAATTTGTGAGTTCATTGAAGAACTGTCTCAAGAAGGTGATCTGAGAGAATTGCCAGTTGGTCACCCTTCAGGGCTCCGTACACTAACCCTTGCTTGCCTGAGCGAAAGCAGCTTTTCATGAGCATTGGCAACATGCAACTGTGTTGTGACTTGAGCTAGCTGTAATCTAGAGTCCGAGTATCCCCCTTAATGACCCCGTGCACTCCATGTACAAGGATTATGGAGGGATGAGATTCCTGGCATAGTTCTTGTTGTTCGTACGAGTCTTGCAATCATGTTCCACCACATCACAACAGCAATATCCTTTCTTCACTCTCATCGATCAAAACAAGAGAAGAAAAAAAGCAGCCACACAAAGCCATGCTAAACCCTTGAACAATCTCCTGCAACCTTTGGTTTCAGCCGCTGTTCTGCAGCATTCATATATGTCTATTACAAGAACCTACCCAACATCTATCTTCGCTGGAAGTGCCCCCCAACATTAAACGACAACTGCAGCCGGAATTGCGCTTGTACTTGGGGGAAGCAGGGGCCCCTTTGTTGTTGGACTGGGTAAGGCGATCCCTGCCTGTATGCTAGGTCACTACTGGTCATCTACAAGTCTCAGACTTTGTGGCAGATGGGCCGCCTTGGTACCAGACAAGAAGAGGGTCCGTACGAATCCCAGTGATTCCTCGGCGAAGCATTCATGAGACGACTCAGCGCTTCAAAATGCTGACAGAGAGGCAGGTCATGCACGTGAGTTCCAATGTTTATTACCGGCTGAGCCTGACTGAAGGCAATAAGGCACCCATAACTTTGGCAAACCCCCACATGTATTTTAGACAGACTGCTCGGGCTTTTTTGTCCAGGGCTCCTGAGCACAGAGATCCCTGGCCTCTTCCGCAGGAGTGTAGCCGCGCCTGAATTGCAACAAACTTCGAATTGGTGTGTTGTGGGAGGTATTTGTTATGTAGCCTGCGCGAATGCATGCCATCCATGCTTCCAACCAAATGTAGCCTTGAGGTTTTCCATGCATGAGGTTTCGCTGCATCTTCGCGTAGTCAGATCTCCCGCTGTGAATGCCACACCAAGTCATGCAAAACTAATCGTTGGCCAGGCACGGGAACGCATAGGGAGGTTCCAGCGCAGCGTCTTGTGCGGCCTGTGCGGCCCGCAGCAGACAATCTTGAGTTGTGGCAAACAAGCTCAAAGTTTAATATGTTTGCTGCCGAAAAAGCGTTCGGAGGGCCCAACAAATCCTTGCGCTTGCACCCCTACCACCACCACCCAGACCCTTGAGCTCCTCCTTCTCAGGTCCGCACAATCCCTGCCCAGCAGAACTCAAAAGCCCAGATATGACCTGGATGTGAAGAAGTATAAACTGCTGCATGCAATGTTTGGTTGTGATCTCAAGACATTTAGACCTTCTCCATCTGCCTCCCCTGCCCTCCATACTGCCCGCCACGCTGGGGCATCATCTGGAGAAGATTGCTTGTAGTATGTCTGTAGGTGTGCGGAGCTCAATCCCCTCAACATTGCAAGCGCCTTGACGAAGTTGCGACTTACAGTGGTCTGTGTCATGAAAATTCTCTGGTCAGCTTCCCTAAGCTGTTAGCCGCAACTGTCTCATTGGGTCCTATTCCACTCTGGCCACCGTGGCAATCTTGGCATAAATCCAATACAAAGTCCCGGCTTACCTTTCTGCGGGCCTTCTTCTTGTCAAGACCCAGCGCCGACGGACAGTCAAATCCCACAGCGGTGCCAAGGTACATACCAGCCGTGGATCTGAGGCAGCGAGGCAGCAATGCATGAACGAGAACCGCAGCAGATACCAGAGGGTACATGGGCCCATCGAACTGCGGTACAATATGATCTCCCAAACCCTATTCTAGTCGTCTGAGCAGCTATGTAGAACACTTCTTCTGTGGCTCTCAGGCCAGGGGTCAGCCACAAATTCATGGATGAAATATGCCCAACTTAACTGAGCCACGCGTAGCCAGCCGAGGAAGCAACTTCACCGGCACAGGCGCCTTGTGTAGATGCCGAAATATACCCTTGAAGGGGCTAAACAAATGTTCCGAAGCACATGAGCTCCCATAATAGGGTCATGTGACGTCACATGCTACAGGATCAATGGCAGTGACACTTCCTGTAGTCAGTCATGTTGTCCTACAAAGAAACATTCACGAACTTGCCTAGCATCTTCCTAAACCGAAGCGGACAATTGATGACATGAGGAAGGCAGGTTAGACTGCTAGCCACCTTGTGAGAGACAGAGAGAGAAAGACACAGACAAGATCTATGAATGGTTCACATGTACACTAGCAGGCATCGGTGTGAAAGCAATGTGCATTCAAGCCGCCCCAGTTGTAATCTGTCTGAATGGGGGAGTCCTTCCTTCTGATGTGACGGAGATCAAGGTCCAAGTCATTGCAGGCTTCCACTGTCTCACCTGGGCGCACCGCGACAACTCCATCTTGTGGAAATGCGAACCACATCACACTTTTTTGGGGACTCAGCGAATGCCTGCGTTACTGTCACAGACCACAAGTTTGACAGCAACAGTTCAAGTCACAGCCAGACTGCTTCAGAACACTTCTGCACTCCTGACCATACCAGCTGTGCAGAGATGCCGGGCATCCCAGCACCTCCCCTCCAATGTGTCTTGCTGCTACAGGAAGGAAACTTGCTCCGGCACAGGTAGGGGCACTTCGTGCTGCCTTGTTGCCCAGCTCGGTACCCAGAGCATCGAACTCCCACGACGCACCCTTGTTTGCAGGTTACATGTCTCATTCCAAGCCCCTTTACATTGGTGCCATGTTGAACTGGCGCGCCTCCAGACGCTCGCCGCACTTGTAGTAGCCCCGGAACCTCAGACTCGTGAGCGCTGGACTGCATGAAGGCCAAGGATTGAGGCTTTGGAACTTCAGGGTAGAGACCAGGACTGGATCGTGCACTAGAGCGTCTACGTTATCTACATGAGTTGGCCTTGCTGGGTGAGGGATGCACCAAGAAAGAGTAATGCTCATGTTCGCGTCTGGAGAGCTTCTGCACCCATGCACATGGAGAAGGGCTGACATGAAGTCTCTGCAGGGTCAGGCTTCCGTTGCAGACAAGGTCTATGCAGCAGCAGCAGCAGCAGCAGAAGCAGCAGCAGCAGCAGCAATAGCAGCAGTGAGGCAGCATTCAAACTGCCTCAACAACCAGGGATGCATCTGCACCTGCCTGCGGAAGTTGGTATCGAATCTAAGGCCAGTTGATGCAGTTTCGCTTTTCCAGGGTACCTCCAACAATTCAGGATGGGATAGGGGAGACATGTCGCTGTGAAGCTGCCAGGGCGCCATTGTTGGTTGCAGCCACGCACAGGCAGCTCCTGAAAGATCCGAAGGAGGTGCAGGTGAAACTGCGACAACCTACAGCAGTGTTATCTTTTGTTACAAGCATACCTCTTCAGGGTTCACTTGCGGCATTGTGTCATCAACCCTAACGTTTGACTGCAGCTTACTGAATTCTAGTCAGATGCGCTACGGAACTCTTCAAAACCTTTGGCAATATGAAAAGGTTCTGCTGCATCTTAGAGTCGAGGGTCGGCACTAGTGTAACACCAGGTAGATTAAACAACCATTGTCAGAGGTTTCAGTGTTCCTTCTTCAGCTTTTTCGCAGGCTTGGCTATGGGGGCTCTGACCTATGAAAAATTGCATGACTCTCCCATCCGCTCCGCCAGGTACTTTGCCGCATTTGACGCAGCTCGGATCGATCGCGTGGCGCCCTTAGCGCACTCTTGGCCCACGAGCTTCGCTTCCTGGCACGCGCCGTTTGACTGCTGCAGCCAGATCTCACTAAATCCTATGCTTCCTGGAATCATAATGAAACTTCAGACAAGCCAAAGTCACAGAAACCTCCTCCGAGCGGGCTGCATTCATGAAACCATCCAAAAGAAAGGCTTGATCAGAAGGCCTTTAGATCGCTTTACAATAAATCTAATCGACATCCTCAGTCGCCTTGTTGATTTCAGCTGCACTGCAACTTGCAACTGTAAACCCTCATGCAAGCGCCAGCGAGACGGCGCAAACCGCGAGGTTAGTTTCAATCGCCGAGGCAATGGTTCCAGCATCCTTGCGCTATGCTGCAACGTAGTCATAGCAGACGGGACCTAACTTGACCACACAGTATCAATACATGGCAATAATATCCAGAAGAATTTCTGAGAATAAGGCTGTGCAGGCTGTTTGTGCCCACATGTCTAAGTATGCAAGACTTTGTAAGGCCTGTACCGGAGAATGCACACGAAGGATATAGAGGGATATAGTAAGTCATAGCTTCAGCATCAAAAAGTACGATAAAAACGAGGATCTTGGTAGTATTGCTGGGGAAATACAGGTGGGGAAGGAACAGCAACCCCATGAACTTGTATGTACACATCCTGACATGGACACATACATATGTGCATGCAAGTATGAACCACGACGTATGCTAAGCACGTATAGTACAGAACTCAAGCTTCTCATCTTGTGGCTAATGAAAACCATTAAATCAAAGCTATCGATGATATGATCTACAGTCAATATTTCATACATAATTTAATGGACATGGGTTCCTTATGAGGGACTTTTCAAAGGACTATACTAAACTACAAGAGGGACCCCTATGTCCACTGCATTGACGGCAGCTCATATGAACAGTTTCATCCCACTGGTGACTGTTTGCTCTGTTTAGTTCAGAGGAGTCAGTATTGTGCTCTTCAATAACAAGTTTTTTTATGACGAGCATGTCTATTTGTCTGAGTACGCAGGTGCGACGTTAATGAGGGGAATGCCAAGACTAACTGTGCAGGTCGCAGTTGTATGCAGCTTGAGTCAACATCTTCAACTAGGGTTTACGACGTATAGCCACCACGGAGTATGCCCTCTGGTCTACTCGACCTTGGCGGTGGTGACATGGTGTCTTAACCATGCAAAATGCTCCAGGTACGTGATGCCGCAT